CTGGGATGATGTGGGAAGCATTATTTGAAAGTAAGACACCTTAGGACAGCACTAGGAAAAAAGGAAAACTCCTTTAAAGCTGACTAAGCATCAGTGTCGGAGCAGCAGAGTGAGAAGTGTATCAGTGTAAAATATTCAACAAATCATTTAAATTTGAATTGAAGGAATTCAATCGCTCCATTATGAGTTTCAAGTGGAGAAAGAATTCCTTGAGGAAAGATGTAATAAGCAGTTACTGATATAACATGATCTTTTTTTCCCATGAAGGTTAAAGAGTATTAAATCTGTTGGTAAAACCGAGAGGATATCAAAGGATATCCTTTACATAAATAAAGGTTATCCTTTACATAAATAAAGGATATCATTTACATAAATAGTGTGTTGGGAATCCAGAAATCCCATCCCCAGGAGCTCATTCTACAGGTTTGTATGAGAAGCCAATGTCACTCTGAAGAGCAGGAGGCTGAGCTGGAGCCTGACACCCTGGGTCTTTTCCAAGCCTTTCAGAAATGCTTGGCTGGACACATGGGTGAACAGTTACATGGCTAGTTACTTCTGTTCCATATGGAAATTAGGAGAGGGGAAAATGACCATTACTAGCCATTTGAGCACATGGTTACCTGATTTCAGCTGCAGGGTTCTGTATGCTGTATGCATTCACAGTTAAGCAATCTCTGGCTTTCTGTACGAGGGTTAGTCCAGTCTGGGCTTAAAGCGATATCCTTACAGCGTGCTTAAGAATGTGGTTGGGGTGTTAAGAGATCCTGGCTGATATCTGTAAATCAGGATGTCAGACACTGTGGAAACCTGCTAGGTCTGAAAACACATTGAGCAAACTCTGTTTGAATTGATAAGTACTTGCTGTACTTGATCTGTTCTTGCTCAAAAGAGGCCAAGAGAGGCTTTGAAATAACTGGTTTATTCAGGCATCATATTTGGAAGGGCAATGAAGGCAGCAGTGCTTCCAGTCCTTAGGGGTTATATTTTGGGTTTGACTGGTTTAGGGTTGGGTTTTTTTTTTGCAAGTTTCATGTCATTTGGAGAATCCTAAACTCCATCTCCATAGACTCCCCTGACTCTGAGTGGGGAGGTTCCTGGCTCCACAGTGAGGACAGGGGAAGGCAGTCACACCTGGCAGTGGTCTGAAGGACATCTTCCAGTTTCCATCCCTGTACTCTGCTTTCACATTTTGAAAGAAAGGTTCTTGGCTTCACGGGTGTCAGGAAGATCTTGACAGCCAGGGGTGCTAAAGGGCTCAGAAACAATGCGCCAAAGAACCTCCGCGGTGTTTGACTTAGCTGTGTTGGGATATTTTTGCCTTTAAGATCATCGTGGGAGTGAGCTGAAGACAATCTGTGAGACTGACAATGGCCAGATCAGAGATGGGTGCTGTGGTCTCTTCAGTCCTTCATCATCCTCCTCCTCACACTGGGTTAGATCTAACCGTGAAGGCTCCCTGGGAGTGCAGCAGACTCAAAGCTGGAGAATGTCCTATTCCACTGATAAGAAAAGACAATTTCAAAACAGTATTTACAAGTTAGGCTTGATAGGGAACTCATTTCCTTGACAGCCCCAAATGTTTCATTGCCAGATCTTAGCAGAAGTCACTTTGACTTTACTGGGCAGGAGCCTGAATAAGCTGAAGCCTGCATCATACCAGAGCGCTTTTACCCTTGTAATTCCTCATGTTGCAGCTGCATCCACGTATCAGCAAGTTGTGGCAATGTGCACACTGTATTTACAGCCATGGGTGACTTGCGGTGAAGGAGAACTGCTAAAAGACCTTCTTTGCTAGAGGGATTATTGGGACTACCCCACCAGCAGCTGGAGTAACACACTGCTTGGCAGAAGTCCCTCCTTTCCCTATGGAAATGGAGCTGAATTAATTCTTGAAATGACAGCACACCTTCAAGGTGGAGCTGACCTGTGCTCCAAGCAATTCCCATTCTTCCACGTACCTTCTCAGCCATGTTTGTTGCCCCTTTCAAGTGGGGCCAGCTAGGCTGACCCATGTAAACATGGGTACCACTTCCCCATGCCTGAGAAGTCACTAGCTCAGCAGTGATGTTGGCCAAGTCACCTGCACATGGTTGGTTACTTTGCCATTACTCATCCATGCCCAGAAGGGCAGGCAAGCTCTCCCACAGCTCACAGGAAATAATTATAGAGCAGCTCACCTTCCTGCAGCACAAAGCTCTTCCTGATACGTCCCAGAGGCACCAGCAGCATTACTCGTGGTGTGTGATGCTTTCCAGCATGATTGTCATGCCTGGCTCAGCCATCAGCCTGCTCCCATCTGGGGCTGGTCAAGCCCAGGACAATACATCAGTGCTGGGGAGCTGAGGAGGAAGGGGAAGAGTGGACATGGCTCTGGCTAAGGGAAGCAGCCCATTAAGAAATGGCACATTAGCTTGCCTCCGAAGTGAGCAGCTTCTGTAAATTGGATGGCTCTTCATGAGTCAGGAGCCCAGCCCTTTTGTTCCAGAGCTGTGTGTCTTCAGAAGTGGCTGGAGAAGGAGCAGGCATTTTGGAGAAGCTGTTTCACACTGTGGCCCCACTTCCCATTTACTTGGCTGGCTCCTGTGCCACCTCTGCAGCTCACCAGCTGGAGAAAGGGAGTGAAAGGGGAAGGCTGGTGATCTCTCATTCCAGCTTTGCTCAAGTGATGTCTTCTTAACGGCTCCACCTGCACTGCTCTTTTTTTCCTAACCTGGGGATGCCTTGAGTCTTCCTCGTTGCCCTGCAGGAGCAGATGCAGGTTTCTGGCGGAGACCCAGTAGCCTCAGAAAGTCTCTTTACCTGTTTATAGTGATGCCTTAAGACACAGTGCCTGTCTTCAGGAGGTTGACCTCACAGCCTTGGCAGACAGAGAGCTTGTGTGTTGTCCATGGCTGGTGGTATGTCGTGGTGGCACGCAGCTGCTCACCCCAGCACAACGGTGGACTGGAAGAAACTGGGGAGTAGGACCTTCATCCTTCACCTGCCTCTAGCCCTGCTTTGTGGGAAGAGGTGAAACGCCCTTGCCCGATGGAGTCTGTGGCCACCATCTCTCTCACAAGGCACCATACAGGCTCTTTTTGTTTGGGTATTTAGCACAGCAAACACCTCAGTGACTGGAGTGGCCCACAGCCCATTGTCATCTTGGAGGCTCATGGAAAACCCTGTGAGCTGATGCCCACTAACAGCAAGCCTGGTGCATGGGCCCAACAGGCTTTTGGGGGCTGTGGGAATTTGACTGAGCACTGAGTTGTTTAAGATGTCCTCAGCTGCCTCACCAGTCACCTACTGCCGCTGAGGCTGCAGAAGATGCCAACTGCGCCACAATCTTTTCAGAAAGAAGCAAGGCCGTGAGGGAAGGCTGGGAGATAAGGCAGAGAGGAGGTAGAGGGAGGCAAGGCCTATATTCTGGATGGTTTAGAGTGTTTAGCCAAAAAGTTTGGCTAAAGTCAGTTTAGGGGTACCTCTCCCCAGCCTATTGAGATATCAAGCCTGGCCTCAGAAGGACTTGCTAGCATCTCCTTTCATCACAGAATCCCACACCATTGGCTTGGCATCTGTAAGGGAAAACACGCTCCATGCAATCTGTTACTGTTGTGGTATCACCATCAAATCGCACATTTCCGCTCAAAAGGGTTGTTGGTGACAAACTTTATCATTAGATAAAAACACACCCGTGGGCACCTCTGCCTGCAGCCTCCCTGCTCTCCTGCCGGGTGCATGGTGAATCCTCAACGCCCCTTATTTCCTGCACCAGGGAGGTTTAACTTGAAATTGTTTTCAAGCTGCTGCTTTTCCTGCAGAAGCCTGCTGTTGGTCTGTACCCCAGGACTCTGACAGGATGACCTAGCCCAATGCTTGGTTCAAGTGGTCTGCTCCAGGCAAAGTGACCATTCAATTAACCAACTAGGCAAAGAAACTAACTTTCTAAGGTGTCGTGAAGTAAAAGTGCCTTCATTATAATACTAAAACTCACACCCGCAGGTCAAAAAGACCCCCGGGGTGAAGTCCCCTCCTCTAAGCATAGTGATTAGAAGGAATACCACAGCAAATATAATTCTATGTAGATTACAACCAATCATTGTAACGGGCAGTGTACCAACGTGTAATTTTGTGTACAAAAGTAATGGGAAAGCCAGTACTGGGTGTGCATGATGTGTGGAGAAGTCCAACCAAGCACCCAGGTCTGAATAAACAGCGTGTGGATGGTTTACTGCACACCGGGCAAGAAGACACTTCTTGGACCACACTGTGAGCAACTCACCTTTCCCTGGCACTCACTGGGGGAGCTGCTGGTGCTCCCGGGGGTGCCAGCACCCCACAGACCATCCCAGTGCTTCTGATTGCCTTTGCCTAACACCATGGCAGGCCATGCTGCGTGCCAGCAAAACACACGTAGGCTTCATGTGTCCAACACCTTGTGCAAAGCACTTGCACATAGGGGAAAGCCATAAAGAGCAATTGCCGCTTTCTTTAATTTATAACTTTTATTTGAGGCTGTGGTAAACAGCAGCAAAAGCAGAGGGGAGGGGAAGGCTGCAGGGGGATGTGCTTTTTCAGCAGGTTGGCAGCAGCCTGCTGCTGGGCGTGCATTTATTTCCCTTCTCCCAGGGCATTGGTGGTCAGGACCTGGGAATGGGAATCCCCACAAGTTTAAAGAGGAGACTGAGGTTAAAAGCCTGAGTGGAGACCTGGGCTGTATTCATGGTGGTTTCTGTCTGGAGTGGAAATGGGCAGCTTGCATTCCCTCTGCACTGCTGTGCCAGGGCAGGAGAGGGGAACAGCGTGGACAGCCATGCTGAAGCAGCATTGTGCGTGAAACCTCACCCAAGTCACACTCCCTATGGCCCATGGCTCCACTGCCTGGCCGTTGCACACACATCCCTGCCATGCCTCAAGCTCCCCTGGTCCATGGTGGGACCTGCAGCAGGAGGAAGGTGCAGTTGTGCATGGAGCTGGGCTGCGCTTCCCATGGCAACTGTGGAGCTGTGGTACGTCGGCGCTCCCACGATGTCACAAGGAGCCTGGTGGAAGGCTGCAGGAGCACTGCCAGCGCTGCTCATACACTCACCTCCGACACAGTTCGAGGCAATTTTTCCCCTTGGCAAGTGCAGGCTGCCACGGCCACAGCCCCAATGCACTTTGCAGCACGATGTCGTGGCACGATCGCCTTTTGGAAGAAGCCAGGCAAGATCTGAGGCAGGTGGAGAGAGAGATGCAGAGCAAGATGAGGCTGATGGACCTGCACCTGCGGCAGCTTCGCGAGGATCTGCCTACGTGCTGCCCGCACCATGTGCGGCCCTGCTGCTCGCACCAGCCTGATGCCTGCCCCTGGGAGAGAAGGGTCATCACCGCGAGGATGGATGTGGAGCGGGAGCTCAAGAGGTAACCAGGATTGCCCTGCTTTCAGCAGGCACCTGCACCCTTTAAGATAGGATGAAGGGAGGCTTGGAGTCAGAACCAGGAGCAGAGGTGTAAACAGATAAGCAGGACAGGAGAGAAATAGCCACCTTTGGAGAAGTTAGTTGAAAGGGGAATGGGAATGCATGGTCAGGCAGCCTGAGAGGAGCCACGCAGGCAGCACCTATGTCAAAAATTATTTGGACCATGGTGCTGTGGTATCAGCCATCTCACAAACTGCACCTGAAGTAAGGTACACAGCAAGATCCAAAGCTGTTCAGCTGTGGAACAAAGTCTGTCTTCAACATAAAATCAGTTTAAATCTGGTAAAACATAATCTTCATAATTAGCCAAAATGTGGCTGCATGTGGGGTGCAGCACACCACAGACATGTCCATATTTTCCCATCTCATACAGTAGGAAGAATAAGTGTCAGGACTTCTGCATCTCCCTTTTGACCACTGGTGTGATGATTTTGTTCTGTTAATGGAGTTCAAGATTGACTCTAGTAGAGATAAAATCCAAAGGTAGCCCTACAGGAGTTGTTGAAGGATGAAATATTTGGGTGAAGGCACTACCAAGCATTGAGAGACCTCGAGGATTAAGAAGTCCCTTGGTCATCCATCATTCAGCAGTGGGAGTCTCTTGATGCATTGGCATTTTCTCCCCAGACTCAAGCCTCTGAGTTCACTTACATTGCACCTGGAGATGATGAGACCTTCATCTTGGCAATTGAAAGTGTGACATTTTTGTTACTCATGGTGCAGCAGGTACCATCTCACAGTCTGCCATGTGTGTTAGAGGGAAGCTAGAGGGAAAATGGAAAAAGCCTGACTTCTGGGTTAATTTTACTCTGACTTCAGCAAAACTGAAAGTTGCTGTGGGGTCAGCTTAAACTTACTCAGTAGCTGCAGCCCACTTGCTACTCTGTCAAGTAGCAGATTCCAAATCCCAGGTGTTACAGCACTGTGTCCAGGTTTTCACCTGGGCATTGGGTACCAGAACTGGGCAGGTGAAGCATCCCCCTGCAGAATCATTGCACACCAAAATCCCAATAAAGAAGTAGAAAGTCAGTCTGAATGGAACCTGGGGGTGTCTCAGAATGGGCCATGGGATGCTGGGGCGTGCTCTCCCTGAGTGCCAGGCTCCCCCCAGCCCTGCCACACTTGGGACAACTTGCTGGTTTGAACGTAAATCCACACCACTGCCATCTGAAACCACACTACAGCAGGATTTCAGCCCATCACGCTGGGGAATTCAGCTATCCCTGCTCCCAAAAACTGCTGGGAAGCTCCAGTTCTCCTCAGCACATTTATTCTCCTCTGACCAGCAATGTAAAAAAAGACAAAAGGAACAGGTGAAGGAGCCAGCTCTCAGAGAGCACAGAAAACACATCCCAAAATCACCACACCACGTTGAATCACTGCAGGCTTTAAGCAGGATTGCTGAAATGGGTGTACCTGGCTAATGAACTACTCGTCAGGGATTTCTCACCTTAGTGGTCATGGTTCCCTCATTGCTTGCCCCATTTCCTCTTCCATTACATCCATTATCTTTTTAATTTGTTGCCTTGGGTTCAGTTTAGCTATTGTATCTGAGGCAACCCTTCCATTGCCTACTTTACAAATGGTTTCAATAACAGCCAGCCCTCTGGTTGAGCAGAATCACTGTTTGACGATACTGGAAACCATTTTAATGGCTCAGTGAGCCTCCAGCCCAGCTCTGCAGGATCATTTGGGTTTGGTTTTTTTTTTGCCAATGTGTCTCCTATCCACTGATCACTTTAAACAAAACTCCTCATTAGAAAATGTGATCTATTGTAACTGTTCAAAATGTAGGACAAGGTGTAGGATGGACACACACAGCTTTGTGGTGGTATGTACGTGTGAAAGAGGAGAGCTGGCTTCTCTGTATTAGGTGAAAGAGCTTTTCAGCTTCTCAATTGCCCCATCCCAAGAGAGGACACTACAGTACTCCTGACTGCTGTGGCATGCAGGTGAGAGCGACTTCTGATGGTGCAGACACCACCCCATGTGCTGTGCATCAGCATGAATAGGGATCCAGTAGTTTGCTGTTTATTTCTCTTGTCCTGAAGTTGGTCCACACATTCCTCTGTGAGTTGGACTGAAAGGCTGTCCTCTTGTTTTTATTCCAGCATACAAAGAAGACTTAACAAGATGGTACATTCTGCCCATGATCACAGACTTTTGGCTTTGGTAGACATGAAGGGTTTTGACCCCAAGGAAGTCTCTGTAACAGTGAAAGACAGGAAGGTGAAGGTGGTAGCAGAGCACGAGGAGGAGTTCAGCACCTCAAGAGGGAAGGAGTATAACTACAGAAACATCTCTCAGGAAATCACCCTGCCATCGGGTGTGAGTGAGGATGAGGTGACCTACTCATTGTGCCCCAACAACGTTCTGAAGATCGAAGCAGTAAGGTGTTGTCCTTGTCTTCCGAGCACCACCACAGCAGGGAGCAACACCCAGGCACAGTCATTCCTCTGCCACATCTCTCCATCAGCTTTAGGCCTGTTCCCTTAATCATGCACCAGCAGCTCCCTGGGCCTCTTCCTAAATAAAAGGCAGAACTCTGAGCAGATGTGTGTGTAAGCCTCATCTTGAAGGGCTTTGGTGGGCAAAAAATGAGTTCCAGCAAGAAGATGCAAAGATGGCTTTGGGCATACTTTGCAGTCATTTGCTGGGTACCAAAGGCATGGCTGGAGGTAGCGTGGTTCAGGGCAGGTGTTGCTGTTACATACGACCTCATGGATTACAAAGGCTGAAAGGCACCCTTTACCCTCAGTCACATTTCTCTCAATCCCACCACTTCCTTTTGAGCTGTAGGATATCTCTAGGGAGAAAACACTAATAATAAACACCTTGAGGGGAGGAGCCTCCTCCCCCAAAACAAGCTGTGCTGTTTGTTCCCTCAGTTTGGTTCTTGCAAAGGCTGCCCAGCAGGGAAGAGCCATGGATGAAGGACAGAGAGCTTCTCCTTAAAAGATGGTGGGACTAAAGCAGGGCACTTACCAGCTGAGGAGGGGATGACTAAAGCATTTCCTGCTGTAGGAATTGATAGCTCCAAGTTAATATAAAAACATTTCTCATGTTGGAAGAGGGGGAGAATTGTCAGTGTAATTTCTTCAAGGTAAGATTAATGAAAAATTCAAAGTCTGAAGTGAGACCTCACATAGCTGCAGCCCCTGCTCTCCCTGAGCACAGGGAGCAACAGGATCAGTGGGATGGAGGTGATGACAGGGGATTGCATTTGCTGCTCTGGCCTCAGTTCCAGTACTCACCACCCTCATCATAAAAAAATTCTTTATTGCATCCAATCTAAATCTACCCTCTTGCAGCTTAAAACCCCTTGTTCTTGGTAAAAAGTCTCTCTCCATCTTTCTTACAAGCCTCCTTTATATACCTATGCCACAAGTAGCCTGGTTCTGCTGATGCTGGTTGAGGATGTTTAGAAATAAGCCACACCTCAACTAGGAGCCTGTAAGGGAGCCTTCTGTGAGAGCAGCTTCAGGGATAGGGACTGGGGATGCTACAGACCCTCAGCAAAGACCATCTTACAAAGCAACCCATCAAGTAATAAAACTGATGCCCCTTTCGGATGAAGTCTTTGCACTTAGTAACTATTTCTACAGAAGCTGTCAAAGTGTGCAGAAGAGAAGCAGATTTCAACACCTCCCATCTACCCCTGACTTCAGGCTTGCAGAATATGTCAAGTCCCTCAGCAATCGAAGGGCTGGCTATGACTGCTCCTATCCTTATTGCTCATCCTTTAACATATGCTCTTCACACTTTGTTCCTAAATTGGGCTCCTAGCACCAAATTACACTCCCAAGCAGCAAGACTTTATTGACAGATATGACTGTATTCCCAGATTTCAAGACCAGAAGGCACTGTCAGATCATCTGCCCTAATCTGTTGTATTATCTTATACCGCAATTAAACTGCCCGCAGTCTAACTTCCAGGAAGGTATGTAGCCTTTATTTGAAGACTTCAGGATACAAACTCCAGCATGTTTCTTTGTATTTTGTTCCAGCTGGCAATTTCCTTGTAATTAAACGCCAGGCCTTGTTGCCAACACAAAATCATCTGGCATCCTCAGTCCTTTTTTTTCTCTGCCAGGTAACAGAAGGTCTCTGAAGCTGACTTTGTAGTAACTCTGCAGCAGCTATGAACATCTCCTACGCTGTAAGCAAGTCACTTTTCAGTCTTGAAATCCTGAAGTTTTTCATTGCAGGACCTGGTGTCCAACTCCAATATCTTTAGCTCATTCTTGCCCCTTTTCAAGTTTCCAGTGCCAATGGCAAAGGTGCCACCAGGACTCGCTGCAGTAATTCCCTCTCTCCCACCTCCTCATGCTGCAGATGTGGACAAGGTTGGTGTGGCACTCCAGGGGACACAAGGAAACATTTGGGGGGAAGTACACTTCAGTTACTGAAGGAAAAACTGCTTGGTATACATTTTTCTTGCAGAAATGAGCCACAAATAGCCATTTTTTCCCTACTGATCAGGACTCCCAGTGTTTACATCCAAAGAGAACTTGCAGGCTGAGGGACACATCTTAGGGGGCATTCTGAAGAAAATTCCTAATTCATTTTATATCCTGTGGGATGCTGGTCTGGGCTGGTAGGAGCATCTTTAGGACCTTATCTGTAATAGAATCATAGAATAGTTAGGATTGGAAAGGACATTAAGATCATAGAAGCAAATCACTCAAGTAGTGACTGGGTTTTGTGAACACCTACATGCTGTAAATGCCTCAGTACACGCTCCAAAGCATTCTTTAAATCTGTATGCTCCAAATACTGCTTAGATGAGAATTTGCTAAGTGAAAACACCTTTGGAAAACCACCATTGACAGCAGAAGCCATGCCCACATCAGTACCTGCCACCAAATCAATTCCTTTGCCACTAGGTGGCAGATTTTATTATTTATTTATTTATTTAATTAATTAATTAATTAATTAATTAATATACCTCTGTAACTAGTTCTTTAAAAGCAAACCTATGAGGCTGGTGTTACAAAGCAATAAGGTCAGCACACACTGCAGCTGTTATTTGCCTTTGCAATGCTAACAGCAAAGAGGAAGGCCAGAGACAGAGCTGTGATTTGTGACGCTGGGCGGGCAGGAGCCCTCGTGACAGACCACCAGCACATTATGTTTCTACACTGCATATGTCGAACTCTGATCCAGCAGTACTTCCCCCTGGAGTACAGCTCCTGGATAAGGCAAGTTTCATGTGCTTCAGTAGCCCAGCTCTGTCACAGGTATTATCCCAATAGGAGCTCCCAGGAGTTGATCATTCTTCAGCATATTGTTGCAACAAATCATCTTGGGGGCCAATTTTGACCATCATCATATAGCAGATGCCCTTTCTGAATTCCCTGGCATGAGGAAGATGCCAAGAGGGTGACTTGGCTCTGTAGTTACAAACCTTAGCGCATTCTTGAACTCTAGCCTTATCGGGACATTTATAAATAGCTGGAGTCCTAGGAATTTGTAACAGGAGGCTCTCTGGGGATGGTAGCTCCAGGTCTCAGTTTGGTCAGGGATTTATAGGGGGTTTCCTGCAGCCAGGCAGTGCTCTGCAGGCGCAGGTTGTGTAGCAATGTTGCTTCTCTCCCAGCTATCACAAAACTGGGAGAGTGGTACCTTAGTGGGGAGGTGCAAGGTGATCCCAGCCTTCCTCTCCCAGTGCCCCCGTGAGCTGCTGCTACCGGGAGCATGGCACTGCCCGGGCACGGCAGGACTGTTCCTGCCAAGGAGAGAGCTGTTGCCTGTCACAGGGGCCGCCCCACGCTGTACACCTCCGGTCTTTGTCCTGAAACTGTTGGTACCACGCTGGCCATGGGGGGCTCCACTGCCCCTCCATGGGACTGAAAAACTTCATCCATCCGCTTGATTTGTGCTTAAGGTTAAATTTAACCATTGTCCCTGCTAAGACATTTGGCACTGCAGTCCCGCAGATAAACTTTCTAAACCTGTTTTCTGTCACCTCCCCTGGAGAAAGCAGTAAATGCTTAGAAGACAGAGCAGGACCCACGGCTTCGAGCCTGCCTCTGTACCAAAGACTGGGTGGATTTGTTGTCATTCTGGACAACACTTGTCACCTTATTAATAATCCTGCACTGAATTTAGGGGTAAGCTGATACTTCCATGCACTCGTGTGACCGTCAAGGAGCTGCCACCTCCATGAGCATATGACATTGTCCCTTCCTTCGATCTCTTCTTTCACCTGCAGGTCCCTTCCCTGGTCTTTTGAATAAAAAGTAATTTTCCCATCTCTGTCTAATTCCCCTTCCATCCCATTTGTCCCTCTCCACTTCAGTTGTGTAGGCCAGGCCTTTCTTTTGGTAAGTGATGTGGGGGGGTTTCTTACCTTGAAAGATGGAGCCCTTTGCTAAAGCTGAAATCCCAGTCCAGGCTGTCCCTAATGTTATCCTATTGGTATCTCTACTATATATAGGTGGTGTGAATGCATACCCATGTAATTGTCTTTCTCAATGTCAACACATCACAAATAATAGAAGGTCTCTCAGCTCTTTGGTCCCTCATGCTGGTCTATAACTTGGGGCATTGCCTCTTTAAAGGCCTGCAAGTGAAAATAATGCTATAATTAAAAACCCTGTAACCCCCTAATCAAACTACAGGGAAAATCCTCACCCCCTGCGCCTCACTAGCACAGATTTTTACTTGCCAGCCTCTTTTTTGTTTGTTTGTTGTTTTCTGCCATAGCTCTGTGCATCTCTGCCTGCGTGTATGGAAACACCTGCAAAAGGGAGAGCTGCCAGGGCTGTGCCTCATGGTCACGGGTGACTGTGGCAATTAAAACAGGTCAAGAGAGAAAACAGAATCCCATCCCTGCTGAGGTGTGGGCTCCGAAGCCCTGGTGGGTCTGGGATCCATGCTGAGCCACGAGGGGCTGCAGCAGCCACAGCACACAACCAGGTGATGACAGCACTCATCCCATCCCTCATGTCCCCACTGTCCTGGGGTTGCCACCTGGGGGTCACCAGCCCTGTGCCTGTGTGGCGCAGAGTTGTGTGCCTGCAGGCACAGAGCTGGGAACACCACCAGAGCATCCAGCCATGTCCTGGTGAGCATTTCAAGGAGTGTTTGAGCCAGCAGTTATGTCAGTGAGACAGCAGAGACCAGAGAGCCTGCCAGCATGCTCACAGCCCACTGAGTGCAGGGTCACACTGGGCACTGGGCAGCGTGCTAGAGCCATGCGGGACCCAGTGCTTTGGGCTGCTACTGCACAGAGCCCTGCCAGAGCCAGGGAAGGCTCCCTCCTCCTGCACGGGAATAGGAAAGGGATGGAGAATAGGAGGGATTGGGGCCAGCAGGTGTGCTGAAGACACTCAAGCTGAGCACAGTCCCCATCAGAGCATCTCCAAGGTGCTGCAGAGTCCATTGCCTCCTGCGCAGGTCGGCAGTGACATCCACACTGAGCAGCAACTCCCACTGCTGTGCCTGTGCCTTGGGTTCTCCCTGGTTACCTGCCAGAATGTTTAAGTATCAGCAGAATCACAGGATGCAGTAGAGGTGACTGGTGCAGCAGATGTGAAGTTTGAGAACA